TGGACTCCGGAAGCTTCCTGGGGAACCCCTCACCATGTGCCTTGAGCTGGGAGGAGGGTTCACTAGCTCTGGGCATGCTGGGCGGGGGTCAGTGACCACCATCTGTCCTTGCCTGGCTGGGGGAGGAAGTGGGGCGGGCTCCCAGGCGCAAGGGACAGGTGTGCACACGTGTCTGTGTGCTGCGTTTCTGGAGCATGTGAGAAGCACACGCCTCTCTGAGCATGTGGCTGGAGTGTTTTAGTGCTGTGAGCCTGTGTCTGGTGTGCATGTGTGTGTCCACGTGTGCGTGCGTGTTGGGGGGAGCCCATCTGTGGCCATGGAGTCGGGTGCTGTACCTTCGGCACCAAGCTGTCCTCGGACTCCAGACCACTTGGGTGCCTCCCGGGCTTCTCAAATTCTCATCTCCCGAGCCCGCCTCGCCACCTCCCAGCTGCTCCTTCTCTCAGTAAGTGGCAGGCCCGAACCTTCCCTGATGCCCAGTCCTGCTCCAAGCACTGTCACCCTCTCGGCAGCCCCTGGTCCAGGCGGCTGACCCCTCTCTGCAGAGGGCCAGCAGTGCCCTTAGCCGGCCCCGTGTGCTGGGCCCATGCTTTGAAGCTCCTTCCTGCAGTTGTTCTCAATCTTCCCCCGGTGCCTATACTGGCCAGGGACAGTGTGGCCCAGGCAGGCACTGAGCCCAGGCCAGGACCCATGTGGCTCTGCCTCCATTTCTCCCCTTTGCAGGCATTCTGCAGCCCGACATCCTGTCAGGTCGGCCGGAGGTCCTGGGGCTCCTAGACTGGCCTCTGTGGGATCCGGGTTCCAGTAAGGCAGGGCAGGCAGATAGCTTTTGCTGCCCAGCAGGTTGTGCTGTGGGGATGAGCAAAATCGGGCTGCCACGTGGTGCTGACATGCTGATTCGGGTGGTTTAGTAGCCAAGGGCCCCACAAAAAAGATTTGCTCAGAGCCCTGCCAGCCCTAGGGGTGGCCCACAGCAGCTATGATGCACCCCTGCCTGACACTGTGCAGGGGCTGGAGGGCACACATAGGCCTCATGCCCTCTGGGGTTCCAGCTCCTCCAACACGAGCTACACCAGCCCCTGCCAGGAGCGCGGGCCGGGTCTGCGCCCCGGCTCCCTCCTCCTGCAGACCTGGCTTCAGGGGCCTCTCCCAGGACGTGAGTTCTGTGACCACCTCCCCACATTTGCGCTCCAGGAAGGCAAGGCGTGTGTGTGTGTGTGTGTGTGTGTGTGTGTGTGTGTGTGTGTGTGTGTAGTTAGAGAGCCGGCTGGAGGGGCGAGTCAGAGTGCGCAGC